AACCCGGCCCTTGTTGCTGCCAACTTAGATGGGCAGAAGGGTTACATAAGTAAAGAGCAAACCTTCACTACTGCATTGGGCCGAGGGGGAGGCATTACCTTCCTCCAGTTATCTGAATAAGGCCTTCTGTTGCATGCAAATGCCATGGCTTGGCACAGGACAGGGCCTCCCTGAGTCCAAGCACCCCATGGATGCAATGCTGACTGCAGCTATAGCCATTTGAAGGTTTCCCTGTTGTGGGAAGACACCAGAGCCCTCCTACCAAATGAAATGCCAGCTTCCTTTGTGAGAGGTTTGCTCCCATGTCAGGGATGTCAGGAAGCCAGCTTCCAGAGCCCTGGATTCTCATGCAGTGTGGGAATTCCCAGCTGGAGCCAAGAAGGGACAAGCCAGAGAAGGGAGCACGTCTGGGAAATGAGCTAGGCTGAGACGACCTGCCATGTTGACTCCTCGTCCAACCCGTTTTCCACAGAAAAGGAGCAGCCCAGCCAGCCAAGGTCACTCCCTTTCCTTCCCTCTCTGCCCAGGCACTGACCTTGATGAGCGTCTCCAGCAGGTAGTTGATTGTGATCCAGCCAAAGGATCCTTCCTCATTCCCAGTGAGGATCCGAGCGCCACGGAAATCTACAGGGTACTGCCGGATGGTCTTGGAGACCTCTGCAAAGACCAGGTCGGCTTTTGTGCTGTTCTGCTCCCTGCGAATGGGGAGGGGAGAGATTCCACTGGGCCCCTGACAAATACAGTGCGGCATGCACAGTGACTGCCTAATCCAATCCCTTCCAGAGGGGTAATAAACCTGAACATGAGCATCTTCCCTGAAGGTGCCGAAGTGGATGAGAAAAAGGCCCTCTGCTCCTGACACTCCATCAAGTCAGCCAGTAACAGAAGAGGAATGTAGTTAATGCTTAATTACAAGTTTCTGGCACTTGCAGTTCCTCACATTGCCATGGCACCCCGATGGCAAGAGCCTTGCCTAGACCGACTGGTCCTGTAAGAGCCCCCCGGGAGTTTAGCAATCCACACGCTCACCACTGACATGCAGCCCACTCTGGAGTGGAGGGAAGGCAGTAGGTGGACAAGCTGCATGAGTGGGACAGAGGCACAGGGAAAATGTTACCACCTGTGCAGAGTATGGATTTGAGGTCTGTCCCCAAAGACTCCCCCAGTGAACAGCAGGTGACTGAAATGGTTAACTTGGGGGGTGGGGGGGAGAGAAGGAAGAGAAGGGCCAGGTCAGCCCTGCAGGATTTGTGCCAATAATGAACCAGAGGCTTCACCACTAAGCCATCACTGCCTCATCATTTCAGCCCTGCAAGAGGCCAGTGCTGTGGTCCCAAGAGCACAAGCCTGTGTGTGGTGGAGAACCGGCCTTTCCCTGTGCGAAGCTGCCCTCCTCACAGTCACTCCAGGTACCTCAGCAGCCGCATGCCTGCAGTAGCGCCAAGGTAGGTGGGCGTTTCTCTCTGTTGCTCCGCAGGGATGATCGTCATGGCCTTGTCCAGACAGGCCCTCAGGCTGGCTCCGGCCCTAGTGGGGTTGTCAGCGTAACTGGAGATCCCAGGTCCTGGAACGAAGCATCCCAGTGAGAGCCTGAGCTCAGCCGGGCCCCTGAGACAGGGACTGGCAATGCTGCTGGCACCTGGGGCTGGAGAGCCCAGAGTGAGGGTCAGTTGTTTGCTGGCATCAGCATGCAGGGAAGAGGAGTGTATAGATGTAGGAAAAGTCTGCGGAGCGCCAACCAAGGTCTGGGGGGGAACTGCCCTCCTTGCCCCATAGCAAATTACACTCCTGCAGCAGAGCACTGTGGGAGAGGCTGCTCCTGCCTGGCAGCTGGGCCATAGGACACCCATGCGTCCTGGGTCTGCCCGTCACCACGACATAGAGCTTGAATGCAGACAAAGGTTGGGGTGTCTGGGCCTGGGGCTGTGTTGGGGACATCTCATTCCCCCAGGCTCACTGCCTTTTACAGTACAACTGGGTGTCACCCCTGCTTTCCGGATAGCAGTCTAGGGATGGGGGAGGGTCACACTCACTTCTCCCATTTTGTATTTGTAGGTCTTTCCATGGCACAGGGATGTGGTGGACAGTTCAGCTTCCACCTTTGCTCCCTGGGGTCCACTGCATTATATTGCAGGCAGCTAAAGGAGCAAAGTCCACCTGTAATATATGTGCTTGTGCTGCACCTATAATGTCAATGGCCAAACTCACACCTGGTGCAACTCCACTGACTTCTGTGGAGTCCCACCAGGGATGAATGGGGCCCAGTTGCTATCCCTGGAAAATAGAGATCCAGGCAGAAGGAGGTGGTGTTAGGCCTGAGGGGTAATCCAAGTGCAGGGCAGTAAATAGCACAGCAACCTTTGCCCCTGACAGAAGCATTTCACACACATTTCTTGGCACATGGACACAACCAAGTGGAAGGCATAAGGGTGAGAGAGAAACATCTGACTGACCTTGCACGGTGCAGGCCTCAGCCTGGCTGACAATGCCGGTGCCGTTCTCTTTATCCGCTGGCCACTTGTAGATGTAGAGAGCCGTGTGCGAGGAGCCGGCATCAAACACCATCCCATACTGAAGGGGGAGCCGGGAGGGAAGATGAGGTCACAGAGCTCACTGCTGCACAAGGGCTGCTGTATGTGCCCTCAGCTCTTGCATACAAAGAATTGCACTTTCAGGCTTGACCTTCCAGCCTGGCTTTAACCAGGCCTTTGTTTCTATTCCTTGGGTTTTGCAGTTAGATAAAGTTCCAAGATGGAAAGGGAAGTGAGGTGTGAAACAGCAAGTCTCACGCCCCTGCAGTGACATTCACAGAGCTCTCAGGAGTTGGAGACACATGTGGAATGGCTCAAACCTGTGGGGCTGTTCACGGCTATCGGAGGCTGGGAAATCAGGAAGTGGTAGTTTTGCAACAGTCTTAGAAAAGCAAGAATGAAAGAGACAACAGGGAAGGAACATGAAACCCTGGGAAGAAGGACAGAGGAGAGGAAACATACAAGATGCTCATGAGATCTGAAAAGAGAAAGTAGAAATAAAAGTCAAGAGAAACTAGTTTAGTTACACAGCAGAACCACTAACAGACAGGATGACACACAGCAGGTCTGGGGACATGGAAAAGGGTGACACTATTTCTAACAGGCTATCAAACCCACACAGCTAGCAGAGGTTTTTGTATCAGTCATTGCAGGCAATGTACTCTAGCAACTGCACCTACCTTGGTTCTTGCAGGCAGATAAACGTCCTTCACTTGAACAAGGATGAGGATGAGGGTAGCTATTCCTGAAGCTGCAGCCACCGCAAGAAGGCACCTGACATCCTGCCCTAACATTGCTGCACCAATCTGTGAGCAAAGCAGAAGCTGTGTCAAGACAAACATATCCCATCTTCCTGCTTTCCAGCCAGTTCCTGGTTTACTCTTAGAGAGTTCAGGACAAGGGCGGTGGGTGGCTAACGCGTCCCATTGAGCCTGTCCCCACTGCAGTGAGTCTGTTTCCAGCTTCACAAGCATACATGTGAGCAATTGTACATCCTGATGGTACAGCAAACTAGATGACCCTGGTGGTGGGTTTGGTGCAGAGAGGAGCAGAGGAGGCTCAGAGAGGAAAGAGCTCCCATAAGACCAAACAACAACAATATGCAGGCCCGGCCCAGCCCAGAGAGGCTCAACTGCTGGTGATTGCTACTTCTGCTCCATGCCACACCATGCAGAGCACAGCTCAAGTTGCGGTAGGCCCTTGGCATAACAACTTGAGCAGAACAGCCAATCACAATGCCACCCCCATTGTCCAACTCCATCATCTCTGACCCCATGGCAGGTTCTGTTCTCCGAGTTAGCAGACAGTTTCATCCCAACTGTAACCCAAAGTTGAAGTGCAAGATCCTGCACCATTTCTAGATTCACTTTCCATTCCTTGCCCCTCCCCACATTCGCCTCCCCTTTCTAGACTAGCAGAGCTGTTTGGGTCTGGTGGGAGACAGGGCACATACATTGGATCAAGGGCTATGGGATGGGGACGGGTTTGATTTTTGTTTAAAATATATTTAATACAGGAAAATAAAGAGGCTTGGGAGTGTAATGACATGCATGCAAAGAAAGAATTTTACATCATTCATAACTTCACACACACACACAGCAGAGAGAAAAACCCTCATTTTACAAATGGATTCAGAGGTTAAACATTCCAGGCCCCAGAGGGAACAAGTGAACCCGGGAGTTCCTGGCGCTTAGTTCTGTGCTCTCGCATTAAGAGGTGCCAGGTGTTGTCTGGGTGGGTGAGACCAGCAAGCTCAGCTATGCTATCTGGCACTGTTTCAAGCCAATTATTCGTTGTGAATAAGTCATGGGACAGGTTACTCCTGGGGAAATTCTGCGCTACTGCAGCGCAGCAGAAATCACCCCCCACCCAATCCCTTTACTTCCTTGCAGAAAATGGTTTCTGTGGGGAAGCAAGGAGAAGCTGTACCAGTGCTCACTCACCCCTCCAGGCAGCTCCGCAGCTCACATGCATCTGTTCAGGCAGCCAGGGGGAGAGGTAAATCACTGGCTGGAGGAGGGTCTGGGGATGGCCAGGCAACGCAGGGACATTAGTCACAGCTGGGGAAGGGGGGGGGAGGGAGAGAAGAGGACGGAGACAGAGTCCCCCCTCCCACTTCCCTGCACAGAGCAGATGGGGCTGGGTCAGATCAAGCCCCAGAAACTTCCCCTGGCTGCAGGA